GGGGGGGGGGGGGGGGGGGGGAGATGCGGGGATGATGTAACGCTGACTGATGACAGATAATAAGGATATGGAGAAAAGTGGGTGAGATATGTATCCTTACATATACGCGAGTTATTACAGAGCTCTGTGATAATTACGGCCGTTAAATCACCACAAACTGTTGGCTTAATTGTAGTGCTCTATACATATAATGACATAAGTCGGACGCTGAGTTACTGCTGGCTGATAGACAATGTACGACGTGGGATGGTTGGCAGTTAATCGCCATCACTGACGTAAACCACTTTTATATCGTATAAAAGTGAACACGGATTGGTCTACCAAAGTGAAATAATCCTTCAAAATACGGTTTAAATGATCAAGCGATATGACGTCATATATTTGATTGTATTTATTTCTAATATTTACAACTATAAAATTCTCATATTTTGTATTTATTCTAAAAAATAGTAAGACCAAATCTGAAATAGAAACATCAGCCAATGTTTAACACGAACTTGAAAATAGATTCACAGGATGTTTCTCCTTCCACTTGTTTAACCAAACCTACTGTGTTCAGACTGATTTGTAGAATTTCAACAGGATTTGAAATGTACCCCAAATGTTCAATAAACGTAGCGTGAAGCTTACCATGCTTTGAACAATTTAACTCGCCGTAACTGTGATGGTCTGATATACGCCCACATGCTGTCAATCTCAATTTAATGTATAAGTTTTGTTAAATTAACTTAGACTTTATTTTATTAACTTACAGCAAAGTTAATCAACCCATTCTAGCGTTCTAACATGTAGAATATCAATATCACATATTTTTTTCGTGAATATATTAAAAATACGAAAGTAAACAAGCGTCTTCAGTTTCAGTCTACTCTATTTTGTTGACAAAAAAACAGGTTGAAACAGATCAGATATCAAACCTGTCTGTTTTACAAATCCTCATCCAAGCACAAAAGCTCGTAGCTCTACCAATACGGTTGTCATATAATAATAATAGCATAATAATTATAATTCGAGGTTCTTACATACCGCTTTATCACAACCTAGTTCGTAGGTAGCCTCAAAGCGGTTCACAAATTATTATCCGTGGTTATAGGGCCTTCGCAACCAGCCAATATCTTTCTCAACTCCCTGGGAAGTATACAGCCGGTGCTTTTATATCGGCACTCACAGCTAGCATTTAACACATCTAGCACTGCCCAACCACCTACTCATTTACAGCTGAGTAGAGAACAAGCGGAGTAAAGTATCTTGCTCAGTTATCAACACAGTGCCGTGACGTGACTCGAACCCGCAACCCTTCGGTCACGAGCCCGGCGTCCTACCACTAGCCTACAAAAACGACTGGATATTTCATGAAACCGACACAAGCATATTAGTCTGTCTCCGCTTTATACAAACTTTTCTTGATAAGCTCAGAATTATGCTTATACATTTGAAATGGTCAACAGATAAAAATATATAAGGATTGATTGAAAGGCTTGAGTTGAAGACGTCATATCATGATAATAAATAGAAGATTTATCTTTAATTAATTCATAAATCAAAAAATATAAATTAATAAATCTGAAAAGCTACAAAATTTGAAACGTATACTGACAAGGCTTTCAAAACAGGTTGTTGACTAAAAATTTCCGTCATTGTGTACTCGGAAAGATGTTTACGTCTGGCACGAAACATGCTTTGTTTTTAAACATATTTTACACGTGCATTTATGTTTACCACTCTGTTGTTGATACCTCAATAAATCTGTGATTATAAACATTTGTAGATAGCACATCTCGACCTGAATGTTAACTTAGCGAACCATGTACATCGATACAGATAGTAAAAGTATACTTATGTATAGTAGGTCAAGCCACGTGTCTAGTCGATATGTTTAAGGTACATGAGGTTACTGATCTTATCGACAACTTTACCTTTGTGTTAAACAAAATTCAATCTTTTACATTATTATCAACAGTTTTTAGAGTTCAAGCAAACCCTGGTAGCAACAACGAGCCAGGCATACATTTTCATTTATTTTTACATATAAAGTCCTGCCAGTAATGAAAATGTGTCCAGTCAAATGGTGCGTATCTAACGACCCGAACATTCACTAGGTATAAAGTGAATTTGTTTTAATTTAGAAAGACATTCCAAGACGATGCCTAGAACTAAATGTAGTATAATGCGCGGCATACGTGATTTAAGACATGGCTCAAACACATCTGTCAGATATATCTGGTTAATCTGCTACACGTGCATGTATCTTCTAAAACGTTCGTATTAAAGAGACGTACAACCAATCATGTTACTTGTCTTCGGTCTTCGGTCTCCCTGTCACGTGTCTCTGATCTTCATGTCACGTTTCTCTGGTCTTTCTATCATGTGTAATTGTCCAATCTGTCACGTGTTTCAGGCTTTCTGTCACATGTCTCTGATCAATCTATCACGTGTCTCTGATCTACCTATCACATGCCTCTGGTCTACTTGTCACGTGTCTCTGATCTGTCACATGTCTCTGATCAATCTGTCACGTGTCTCTGATCTACCTATCACATGCCTCTGATCAATCTGTCACGTGTCTCTGATCTACTTGTAACGTGTCTCTGGTC